GCACTTTTTTTCCCACTTAACAAAGAGCCAAATCTATTCTTTGTTTCAAAAGGGGATGTAACAAAAAAATTTTTCTTTCTCCATGTTGGTTTAGAAGAAAGAATACTTGTCAATTGACTGTTTTTGGGTCCATGAAAGTTTCTTATTTGTACATGTATGTAAACATTAGTTCGTATAGTAATATATATATATATGAGAAATATAACATACAATAAATAATCTTAACATATAGAGATTACTTGTATATTCAGGAGACCTATATTTTATTATGTTAAGACTTTATTTAAAAAATATATCTTCTATTAACCATCTAAAATAGATAAGTAATATAATATTAAGTACTTTTCAATTTTTTTTCTCACTTAACAAGATCCAATCTCTTCTTATTTCAAAAGGGATGTAAAAAAATTATTTCCTTTACCATGTTAGGTTTAGTAGAAAGAATATTCTCAACTACTTGATTTTTGATCGTTGAAAATTTTCTATTTATACATGTATGTAGTTTATATATAGTAAGTAATTTATATAAAAAATAAAATTGTGTAACAAATAATCCTAGTAGATATAATATTATTTAGAAAATTATATTATATTACGTCAACACTTTATTCAAAAGATATACTTTATAGTAATTATTTAAAATATATAAGTAAAATAATATTGAATATTTATAAAAAAAAATTAATTCCTACAATGAAAAATATTAATATAAACAAACATAGGATCTCACAGTCAATTTATTTTATGACAATCATGTGTATAGCTAGGGATGTCAACTGCAACTGAGACTCTTTGTGGACAAGCATTTGGTGCAAAGCAGTACCACATGATGGGCATATACTTACAAAGATCATGGATCATCAATCTTATTACTGCAACCTTATTATTGCTCCCTATATTTCTTTTCGCAAGACAAATCTTTACGATACTAGGCGAACAATCAGATATTGCAAGTCTTGCAGGTTATATTTCTTTATGGTTCATCCCCATGCTCTACTTCTACGTCTTCAACTACACCATTCAAAACTACCTCCAAGGACAACTCAAAAACAGCATTATCGGATGGTTATCTGTTGGATCATTTCTGATCAATCTGTTACTGTCATGGATCTTTGTTAAGAAATTACATTGGGGAATTTCTGGAGCAATGAGTGCAACTATAATAGCTAACTGGTTAGTAGCCATTGGAGAGTTCGTATATATTTTTGGAGGTTGGTGCCCAAAAACTTGGAGAGGATTCACTTGGGTTGCTTTTTCTGACCTCTTCCCAATTACAAAGCTCTCAGTATCTTCTGGTTTGATGCTATGGTATATATATATATATAAACATTTTCTATATTTATCTTTAAGATAATCTTATAGTAAAGATATATATTAATAATAAGATATTAATATCCACCACTATTAAAATTTATAGCAAGTAGATATGGACATACATATATTTATTTATTTTTTTAATTTTGATTATTTCTTTCATAGTTGGTTTTCTTTTAATTTTTAAACAGCTTGGAGATATGGTACAATAGTATTCTAATCTTACTAGCAGGATACATGAAGAATGCTGCAGTTGCCATTTCTGCCTTTTCTATATGGTAATATTATATTATATTATAGATATATATTATTTATGGCTTCTGATTTAGTTTGAGCTCAAATCAAAAGCATAAAAATCCTTTAAATTACAATTATCATTGCAGCCTTAATATAGCAGGTTGGGAATTCATGTTATGCCTTGGCTTCCTTATCTCCTCAAGGTATTATTTTCTTCTTCTCTGACTTGTTCATAGTTATATCATGTTGGAGCTTTAATTTTCTTAATAGATCTATCTGTACAGTGTTCGAATTTCAAATGAATTAGGAAAAGGAGATGCAGAAGCTGCAAAATTTTCAGCCAAAGTTATAGCGTGTACATCAATCTGCATAGGACTGTTCTTCTGCACTCTCTGTCTGATATTTGGAAACAAGATTGGGATACTTGTTTACGAATGATGAGAAAGTAGTAGAATATGTATCAGAACTCTCATTCCTACTTTCTATATCAGTTTTACTCAATAGCATTCAGTGCGTACTTTCAGGCATGTTCTTACATTTTATATACATACACATACAAACACAATTATTTTACTTAAATTCATGTTCATATGTTTGCATACAAGATTGATCATCAACAAAATCTTGACTGCTGATATGAGATAAACAGCACAGAAACTTGTAGATTGAAAGATATGAAGTTTATATTTCAGGAGTAGCAATAGGTGCTGGAAGACAGAGTATGGTAGCATATGTTAATATCTTCTGCTTTTATTTCGTTGGAATACCAATGGGGCTTCTGCTAGGATGGGTGGTCGGTCTGGAAATAAGGGTAACTATTTGTTTTGCTATTCTTTAGTAATTTTTAACATATAAAAATTAGATAAACTTTGTATAAATCATTGTATTAATTTTATATAAAACTTAAGGCTCATATTTTTTAAGTACAAATTTATTTCGACCCAAAGCATTAATTTTCAAAAAATTCTTATTATTGATAATATGTTAAGTTTAAGAATCACGAGACTACTAATAACTTTATTAAGTGCTTTATAGTCATTTTTTTTGACACTACTCGTAACACTTTAGTTTCTAAAAATTATTAAACGTTAAAAATTTATATTTAAATTATTAATAATATTATTCTTATATTTAGCTTACTAATTATATATTATTTTTACGTAAATTAAATTATTAGTAGCATGTCACTTACTTAACTTAAAGGGGTTTACAGGGATTATGGATGGGAATGCAACTCGGTGTTATATTGCAATCGTTGGTGTTGGGTTACATTACATGGACAACTGACTGGAATGAGCAGGTATGTTGAAATTATTTTAATTAAAATATAATTAAAGTGATTAGAGATATGAATAAATACCTTTTTTATATGGTTAAATATGTTTAATCTTATTCTATACCCACATAATATACTTATTGATGACATTAACATAGTTATATATTGATTAAGGAAAATTAATATTTTATTAATTTTAGATTCCTATATATTTATTTTCATTTTTTAAAGACTATTAAGATTATATATTTATAATTACATTCATAAGCAAATATCAATATCAAAAATAATATATATATATATATATATTCCTTGACAGAAAGAGTGAGTAAAAAATTGATGTATTAGTTGCTTATCTTGACAGAAAAGTTAATGATCTATTTTACTCTTAATTTTTTAAAAAAAATTAATTAATTAATTAATTACTACTATTTTACTCTTTCTTTTTTCAGGTTAACAGAGCATCTGAGCGTCTAAATAAATGGTTTCCAAGAAATTCAAATAAATCTAATGAAGAGTCAGTTCAGGAGTGATTGATTAGTGATGAATTTTCTTAATTCTATATTAGTAAAACCTGATTACTTTCCCTGCTTTTGTAAAATGATCATTTTTATATTTATTATTTCATAATGGTACCACAATTTTGATCTATAATTTGCATGATATAAGGTGTATTGGTGGATTTGGATTTTATGTTTTGCTGATTAGGATCTAGGTTGCTGCCATGTCATCAAAAAGTTGATGACATGGCAGCCAACTGTCACATGCTTGTCAAATTCTATTATATGAGAAATCTCAAGTTCACAAGTACATTTGGAATAAGTCTAAATTTTGTGAAAAACTACTTAAAGATCCACAGTAATTTAATTAAAATGTATAAAAAAAAATTATCCAAAATAACTAAAAATGAAACAAAGAAATTCAAAATATGTAAAGCATTATATTTCAACTTCTACAGTAACTGATATTTCCCAACATGATTTACATGGAACCACACTTTGAGTTTAGGAGAACAATTAATTGCTTTGTTACAGACTTTGGGTAAACTGTATCTGTACTCGAGGAGGAAGAAATGAATCAAGAGCTAAGGGAGTATGATCTCGAT